CTACTTCTCAGTGATTTGACATTTAAAAAGTGTGCATATGTTACTTTTATAATAAAAATAAAGATATGTATCAAAAATATAATAGCAGATTATTTCTTGATGTGAACATAATTGCTACCGTTTATTGAATACTGAAAATATTTAATCTTGTTTTGATCTTCATAAGAATCCTGTGACAGTATGATTATTACCAAGAGATGAAGAAACTAAGACTCAAAGAGGGTAAGCAACTTGCCCAACATCACAAGGTTAGTATGTGTTGGGGCTGGGATTAAAATCTGGCTCTACTGGCCTTCTACACCTCTAATACTTCCAATATGCAATCCCTCCTCCCAGGAAAAGCTAAGAAGTCAAACTACTCACTTGATTGCACTTTATCCAACAAATCTTGGAGCCAGCTTTCTTCTGTTTGTACTGATATTGGAATTCCTGGAGACAAATTATGATGAATATTTCTGAAATTTTGACAAAAATGTTAGTTTTCAGTATACCTCTATAGTTGTTAGCAGGTCTTCTAAATATAGAACATTTAATAATCCATTAATTAATGCACATAGAAAGTACTGATTTTGTTTTATTTGAAATATTTTCTTCTATTCTTATCTCTTCAGTAAAGTTAACTCAGTGTGTTTGCATCAAATCTTTTTTGGGGGATGAGCTGGGAGGATAGCTTGAGCCCAGGAGTTCAAGACCAGCCTGGGCAGCATGGTGAGACCATGTCTCTACAAAAAATAAAAAAATTAGCCAGGTGTTGTGTTCCGTGCCTGTAGCCACAACTACTTGGGAGGCTGAGGCAGGAGGATGGCTTGACTCCAGGAGGTGGAGGCTGCAGTGAGCCATGATTGCACTACCTCACTCCAGCTCGGGAGACAGAGCAAGGCTCTGTCTCAAAAACAAACAAACAAATAAACCACGACCATACACTGAAGTGTCCTTGTCCTAACTCTAGTAATAGTAGGATTACCCAACTTGACTCCTCCCTGCCCAGACACTCCACAGGAAGTGACTCTAATAAGCCCCACCCACCTGTACAGGGATCATAGCAGACTCTCCCATGCAAGCTCTGTCAGAAAACAGAACTACTAAGCTAGGGAAGGATTCCATTCTAGCTATTTATCAGTCATTCATTTAAAAATATAAATGGGCAACAAAGGATTACCACTTAAGAAAAATCAGTAGCATTGAAGAGAAAAGGCAAGAGAAATAAACAGAACAACTGACTTTGAAAGAAAAAATAATACAAAGAACAAAGGAGAACTTTAATATATTAGAACAGTGCCCTCAAAGAGATAAAAACAAAAAACCACAAAAAACAAACCAAATGATTTTGAACAGCAACAATCAGAGAACAAGTACTGGTTCTTGGAAACGACAAATATGAATCCTGCAATAAAAAAATTCTGTACAAGGGCTGCATAATAGCAGGTAAACAAACATCAAAAATCCTGAAGATACTGAAAATACAAAGGAAATGTTGTTAAAGATGGAGACTCTATCGAAGAGGTTCAACAGCATCTAGGAGGAGTTCTGAAGAAAAGAAGAAAAAGGGAGGAAGTAATTATATACCAGAATGGTCTGAGGATAAGACTGGTGAGGCAGTATGGGCTACTAGGAGGCAATGAAGCAATGTCTTTAGAACTCTGAGGGAAAAATGGTTTTAAATCTCTTGTTTTTGGCAGGTTGGTTTTCTTTTGTTTTGTTTTTTTAACAAATCAAGTATGAGGGCAAAATGAAGAGATTTCAAGGCAGGCAAGAACTCAGAAATTTGACTATCCATGAGACCTACACAAAAAATTCACCCGAGGAGTTTCTCCAGCAAAAGGAAAAGGAACAAAAGAAAGAAGACAATATGGGAACCAACAAAGTGTGACTGGTGAGCCAACCCAGAAAAACGGATAGATAGAACAACGGAGAGTCAAAAACGTTTGTTATTTATTTATTTTTTGAGATGAAGTCTCACTCTGTTGCCCAAGCTGGAGTGCAATGGTGCGATCTTGGCTCACTGCAACTTCCACCTCCCGGGTTCAAGCGATTCTCCTGCCTCAGCCTCCCAAGTAGCTGGGACTACAGGCATGTGCCACCATGCCAGGCGAATTTTTGTATTTTTAGTAGAGACGGGGTTTCACTATGTTGGCCAGGCTGGTCTTGAACTCCTGACCTCGTGATCTGCCCTCCTCAGCCTCCCAAAGTGCTGGGATTACAGGAGTGAGCCACTGCGTCCGGCAAAAAGTTTACTTTTTAAGAGACAAGTTTTACAGACATAAGATTATATTTTCTTGTCCATAGATTCAATCATATTACTGGTTTGTTAACATGGAAGTGTGAGTATTGTTTATTGGTTTTCAATTTTTAGAAACAACTCCAGAGCACTTTAATTATAATTAACAAGCCCCATAATATACGCATAATAAAGCTTGGGAAAGTAATATAACTTTATGTAAATATATATTGCATTTTAATCACATCATATAGTTTGTTGTTAATAGGGAAAAAAGAGGAGAGAAGAGAGATGGAAGGAGGAAGTGCATTAACATGTTAATTTTTCATAATAGTCAATAGATACTAAAACTGATAAATCAAGAAGTAGAGGTTTAAATACCTCAAAGTCCTAAATGTTAGAAAAACTAAAAATAATATAACTACCAAAGTGGAGAGGTGGGAATTCAATACATAAGAAATTGATAAACCAAGAAATGAAAACGTTATTTTAAATAATAATGGAAATAAAACTGAAGGTGAATGGGAGTAGGAGGAAAGAAGGGCATGGAGACTGTCACTTTTTCACCTTTGTATAGTCTGATTTTTTTTAACCATGTGCGTACCTTATCTCTACTACAAATTTAATTAAAAGGATAACTAAGAACATCTAAGTGAGACAGAACAATTCTCCTTAAACTTAAGAATTTAAAAGTTGCTTACAAAAGCAAAGTTAGGGTAACTAGTAATTCAAGATCACTGACTCAGGTTTGGTGTGAGATTTCAGGGTGTATTTACAAAGATGTTCCAGAAGGCATTTCTCTGGTATCTTCTTCTTATAGTTAAAGTGCCTGAAGGCTAATAGCAATAACAAGAAAAAGAAGAGACGGAAGGAAAAAGGAAAGGCCATTAGTTCCACTCTCTTCCACAAAAGGTGTCCCTGGTCACTCTTGCATTTAGCCAATTAAAGCCTATATTCTAAATTCTCAAGCACTTACAATTGTACCCATGACATATAGTTATTCTTTCATGTTACACTGATAAGTGGACATGTAATCTCTAGAGCTAGGTAATAAGCTGGGGATAAGTGGGAACCTTTATCTCTTCCAAAGTGTCTACCAGTGTATATTAAAAAAAAAAAAACTTTTAAAAATAAATAAGTCATAAATGCCCTGGATTATTTTACTCTACTTCCTAACATGTTTATTCAAAAGGTAAACATTATTGGGTTCAAAAAATGTGAAATTTGAAAACATTTTCTTACCTATCTATACTCATTTCGGACATGTCTTTCCTAAATGTCTGAAATATTTTAGGGAAACCTGTTGAATGAAACATTTAAAAATCAGCTACTCCCTCTAAATCAAAAGGGCAATTCTGCCCCCTCCCAGGAACACATGGCAAGGTCTGGAGACATTTTTGATCACCGCAAGGGTGTGTGCTCCTAGCACAGACAAGGGTAGAGGACAGGCATGCTGCTAAACATCCTATAATTCACAGGACAGTCCCCAACCCTCCCCAACAAAGAATTATCCAGACCAAAATGTCAATACTAGAGCTTGAGAAACCTACTCTAAAAGACTTCTCTGCTTCTTTTTTCAAGAAAGTGACTGGAGTGGCTTCAGTACAGGATGTTAAACACAATAGAGAGTTTTTTTTTTTTTTTTTTTTTTTTGCAGGACTGTTTTAGTAGTACAGCACCCTTGAGGCACTTCTCTGGAAATAATATGAGTGTGTTTGTGTGTGTGAGAGACAGAGAGAGAGACAGAGAGAGAAAGAGAGGGGGAGAGGGAGGGAAGGAAGAGGGAGGGGGAGAGGAGGGAGAAGGGATAGGGGAAGAGAGAGAGAGAGACAGAGACAGAGACAGAGAGAGACAGAGAGAGAGAGATGTAACGGTGTGAATGCACGCAAAAATGTTATAAAAATGAGCACTCCCATCAGCCTGGGCAACATAGTGAGACGCCAAATTAGCTGGGCGTGGTGGCGTGTGCCTGTAGTTCCAGCTACTCAGGAGGCTGCGATGGGAGGCTTGAGCCCAGGAGGTCGAGGCTGCAGCCACTGCACTCCAGCGTGGGCGACAGAGCGAGACTCTTGTCTCAAAATAAAAAAACACTCCATACAGCAACGCCCAAGTTCAACTTTTATAGTGTTTCGCCTATATCCTAAATCGTGCATCATCACAACAGCTCAGCCAAGGGTTCAGTGCCTCTGACAAGGACGTGAGAGAGATTAGGTGTATGGAACGTTTAGAAATCAGGCACGACGCGCAGGTCGACGAAGGCACGGGAGTGGGTGGACCAGGTGTCCCCTGGGGACCAGAAAGCCCTCGAAGAAGGGGTGGGTCGGGGGCGGTACTTTTATGCGAGGAGGCACTGGAGGGTGGGCTGGCGCTCGGCATTTCGGTGCTGGTCGCGCTCTGGCTGGGCACGCTCGTAGAGCTCAGGCTAGGGCTGACGATGCTGGCTAAGCGGGGGCGCACGTCTGGGAAGTCGTAGTCGTAGTCACCGATGTCCATGAACTTCCAGAGGTACTCATCGCTGAACTTCTCAGGGGCCTCCAACTCCTGCTCTTCCCCCACAAACTCCTCCTCCACCTCCTCTTCCTCTTCCTCCACCTCTTCCTCCTCCTCCTCCTCCATCTCTTCCTCCTCCTCCTCTAACTCCTCAGACTCCTTCTGGTTCTTCTTCCCCGGATGTCCGAAGCTGCTAGGCGAGCGCAAATGGGCCATGGCTGGCGGGAGGCGGGATTACAGCCAGCTCAGTGGCCGCGGCCCCTGTCGGCTCTGGCGGGCGCGCGCCTTTGTTGTGCGTTGATCTCCCCTGGCAACTGCCTGCCCTGCGCCACCGAGCCTCCCGGATTTAAAGCGGCAGGACCCGATTAGCCGGGTAGAATGTGGGTGCCGGCGGCCGGCAGGGGTCACCGCAAGCTTCTTTCTATCCCTGCTCTCCAGCGTCCGGCGTCTCTGAAACCCCTGGCAGCCTGCGGAGAAACGATCTTTTCTTCGTCTCTCAGCTTATTTGGAGCTTTTTTTTTTTTTGAACGGGTGGAGGAAGTGGCTTCTAGCGACGGACACACACAGTGCCATTTGATATTGCGAATGCTGGAGTCTGGTTATTGAGTAGACAGATGCTTGCTGGAGCTTCCAGTGAAACTTTATTTACAAAATCAGGCGCCAGTCCTTGGGCCCTCTTTTGCGGATATTTTAAAAATTACCTTAAATATTAATAAGCGTATTAAAATTGCCTTAAATGTTAGTTGTCTTAAATATTGTTAGATTAATATTAATTAATCTTGATTAGCGAGATTTTTAGCGTCCCATAAATTTTGCTCGTTGCTGTAATCAGGGTCTTGCTTGGCCCATCTATCCATCCTGGAGTAGAAAATCCTGAAGCATCTGGCCACCTCGATACTACCTGTGTCCTTCTGGGACTTTGTATTTACTTAAATTTTTATTTTTATATATATATATATTATTTTTGAGAGACAGGGTGTCACTCTGTCACCCAGGCTGGAGTGCAGTGGCGGCATCGTGGCTCACTGCAGCCCTGAACTCTTGGGCTCCAGTGATCCTTCCACCTGGGTCTCCCAAGTGGCTAGGACAACAATGTGTGCCACCACGCCTGACCAATTTTATACATTATATTATATTATATTTATTTTGAGACGGAGTCTCGCTCTGTCGCCCAGGCTGGAGTGCAGTGGCACGATCGCAGCTCACTGCAACCTCAGCCTCCCGGGTTCAAGCAATTCTCCTGCCTCAGCCTCCCGAGTAGCTGGGACTACAGACACATACCACCACACCCAGCTAATTTTTTGCATTTTCAGTAGAAATGGGGTTTCACCGTGTTAGCCAGGATGGTCTCGATCTCCTGACCTCGTAATCCGCCTGCCTCAGCCTCCCAAAGTGCTGGGATTACAGGCATGAGCCACTGCACCTGGCCTATATTATATTTATTTTGAGACAGGGTCTTACCCTGTCGCCCAGGCTGGAGTGCAGTGGTGCTATCTCAGCTCCCCGCAACCTCTGCCTTCCGTCTTAAGCTGATACTCCAGCCTCAGCCTCCCGAGTATCTGGGACTACTTTTTGTAGAGATGGCGTCCTGCTATGTTGCCCAGGCTGGTCTCAAATTCCTGGTCTCAAGTCCGGGGCTCAAGAGATCCTCCCAACTCGGCATCCCAAAGTTCTTAGGATTACAGACGTGAGCTACTGTGCCTGGCTAGGGAATATTTTTGAAAGACGAGATCTTTCAGGCTAAAGGAGCAGGCAGCACAGATGAGAGGGTACATTTGAGTTGCTTTAAAAGGAAGGGCAAAATGTGGTGACTAGAGAGGAAAGTGAAAAGCTTTCCAGCAGGCTCAGGGCAGGAAAGGAGGGCCAGAACAGGGAATTATGTATACAGATATTGAGGTACAAATAAGATAAGTGGAATTTAAAAAAGAAAGTAAGAAAAAGCACAATTCTTTTCTGGGCAGTAGTAGCAGTTTGATGCTGGAAGCTGTCTTAGAAGCTATGAAATTCAACCAGGGTCCTCAGAGAGCAGACTGGAAGTCAGGATGTGGGGATGTGACATGGGGCTGGCAGACAGCAAGGGTGACAGTGCTTGTGCTTACTCTGAAGTGCCTGCTCTAGCTCAGTTCTGTGACTGCCCTGGCATTTTCTCAATTGTGTGGTGAATTAATTTGTTTAAGTACTCCTTGTTTAGACCCTCTATTTAAGGCCTTTTTTGAACATTTTATGGAATCTCGTTCCCTTGGATCTACTTACTATGCAAAGAACAGTGTCTTATTTTCCCACGAGTTGATGCCACTCTCTTATTTTGGCTGTTCAGAGATAATATGATGCTGGGTCAGTTTACATTTTCCCCTTCCCCGTTCCTGGTGTCTAGCTTGACTCATGAATTTGAGATTTGAGAACCAGGCACCTGCCCTGACTAACTGTGACTTTGGGGTTATTGAGCCTCAGTTTCTTGGTGTGTAGAATGGAAATATCAGTACATTTCCACTTAATTCGTGGCGCTATTTTGAGATAAAATTTAATTATCGTTTATTTTCTTCATTTTTTTTTTTCCTGAGATGGCATCTCAATGTGTTGCCTAGGCTGGTCTTGAACTCCTGGGCTCAAGCAATCCTCCCACCTCGGCCTCCCAAAGTGCTGGGATTACAGCTGGCTGGCCTATTTTCTTTTTGAGGATTGATTTTGTATTTTATTTTATTTTTTTAGGACCACATATCTCCGTTTAGAAAATGTTAGCTTCTAATGTAGTGAATGCTTCAGAGGTATATTAGTTCGGTTTCACACTGCTATAAGGAATTGCCTGAGGCTGAATAATTTATAAAATAAACAGGTTTAATTGACTCACAGTGCCCCATAACTGTGGAGGCCTCAGGAAACTTACAATCATGGCGGAAGGTGAAGGGGAAGCAAGGCACATCTTACTTGGTGGCAGGAGAGAGAGAGAGATTGTAGGGGAAACTGCCACTTTTTTTTTTTTCTTTTTTTGAGACAGAGTCTCACTCTGTTGCCCAGGCTGGAGTGCAGTGGCACAATCTTGGCTCACTGCCAGCTTGGCCTTCTGGGTTCAGGTCATTCTCCTGCCTCAGCCTCCCGAGTAGCTGGGACTACAGGAGCCCGCCACCACGCCCGGCTAATTTTTTGTCTATTTAGTAGAAACGGGGTTTCACCATGTTAGTCAGGATGGTCTCGATCTCCTGCTCTCAGGTAATCCACCGCCTTGGCCTCTCCAAGTGCTGGGATTACAGGTGTGAGCCACCGTGCCTGACCAGAAACTGCCACTTTTAAACCATCAGATCTCATTGAGAACTCCCTCACTATCACGAGACCGCATGAGGGAAACCACTCCTATGATCTGATCACTTCCCACCAGGTCCTGCCCTCAACACGTGGGGATTACAATTCAAAATGAGATTTTGGTTGGGATACAGAGCCAAACCATATCAAGAGGTAATGGATTTTTAAAGAATTTCCTATCTCAAGTATATAATATTATGTAATTGTGTTATATATATATAGTATTGTATATTGTCATCATTTGATATTTTGTTTGCCTTTCTTTAATTTTGTTTTTAATTGGCACATCATGATTATACATATTCATGGGATACAGTGTGATGTTTCAATACGTGGTACATTGTGTGAAAATCAAATCAGAATATTTAGCATATCCATCACCTCTTATATTTATCATTTGTATTAGTTCCTTCACACTCTGCTAATAAAGACATACTTGAGGCTGGGTAACTTATAAAGGAAAAAGGTTTAATTTACTCACAGTTCAGCATGGCTGGAGAGGCCTCAGGAAACTTAAAATTATGGCAGAAGGGAAAGCAAACACATCCTTCTTCACATGATGGCAGGAAGGAGAAGTGCTGTGCAAAAGTGGGGAAAGCCCCTTATAAAACCATCAGATCTCGTGAGAACTCACTCACTATCATAAGAACAGCAGCATGGTGGTAATTGCCCCCATGAGTCAATTACCTCCCACAGGGTTCCTCCCACGACGCATGGGGATTATGGGAACTACAATTCAAGATGACATTTGGGTGAGGACACAGCCAAACTATATAATCATTTCTTTGTGATGAGAACATTCAATATTCTCTCTTCTAGCTATTTTAAAATATGTAATATTGTTAACCATAGTCACTCTACTGTGCAGTAGAACTCCAGACCTTATTCCTCCTATCTAACTGTAACTTTGTACTTGTTGACCAACCTCTCTTTATTTTCTCTCTGTCCTACCCTCCCCAGCATCTGGTAACCACTGTCCTACTAAGTACTTCTGTGAGATCAACTTCTTTGGTTTCCACATATGATCAAGATCATGAAGTATTTGTCTTTCTATGCCTGGCTTATTTCACTTCACATAATGTCCTCTAGATTCATCCATGTTGTTGTGTATGACAGGATTTAATTCTTTTTTATGGCTGAATAGTATTCCATTGTATCTATATACCCCCTTTTTTTTTTTCTGAGACAGATTCTTGCTCTATTGTCTAGGCTAGAGTGCAGCAGTGCAATCATGGCCCACTGCAGCCTCAAATTCCTGGATTCAAGTGATCCTTCCACCTCAGCCTCCCCAGTAGCTAAGACTACAGGTGTGTGCCATCATGCCTGGCTAATTTTTAAATTTTCTGTAGAGACAGAGTCTTACTATTTTGCACAGGCTGGTCTTGAACTCCTGGTCTCAAGTGAGTCTCCCACCTTGGCCTCCCAAAGTTCTGGCAGTATAAGTGTGAGCCACCATACTCTGGCAGATTATTATCATTATTATTATTATTTAGCTTTTGAGTTCCTCATATATTCTGATATGAACCCCTTGTCAGATGTATGATTTGCAAATATTTTCTCCTGTTCTGCAACTTGTCTCTTCACTCCGTTGATTGTTTCCTTTGATGTGCAGAAGCTTTTTAGTTTGAAATAATTCTATTTGTCTATTTTTCTTTTTGTTGCTTGTGCTTTTGGGGTCTTATCAAAAAAATCCTTGCTCAGAACAATGTCATGAAGCATTTCGCCTATGTTTTCTTCTACTAGTTTTATTGTTTCAGGTCTTACACTTAAGTCTTTAATCCATTTTGATTTGATTTTTGTATATGGTAAAATATATGGGTCTAGCTTTATTCTTCTGCATGTGGATATCCAATTTCCATCACCATGTATTGAAGAGACTGTCTTTTCTCCATTGTGCTTTCTTGGAACCTTTGTCGAAAATCAGTTGGCTCTAAGTATGTGAATTTATTTTTGTGTTCTTCATTCTGTCCCATTGGTCTGTGTGTCTGGTTTTTTGTCAGTATCATGTTGTTTTAGTTACTACAGCTTTGTAGTATATTTTGAAGTCAGGTAGTGTGATGCCTCCAGTTTTGTTCCTTTTGTTTCCTTTTCTGTTTTCCATTTTCTCTCAAAGACTGCCATGAATACCACCACTTTGAGAAAGGTTGGAAAGTGAATTTTTGTCCAGCTTAAACTTCTTATTTGCATATAGAATATTTTGAATGGGCTATAGATAGCTCCCTAGCACATCCGTGAAGAAAGTACAGTATCTCTTCAGAATACCTTAATTAAGCATTGTTCTGATTCATGGTAGAAGAACAACTTGAAAGAACTGTAGCTTTGATGATGGCTAATTAAGAATGTTCCTAAAGCTGGGCGCGATGGCTCATACCTGTAATCCTAGCACTTTGGGAGGCCAAGGTGGGAGGATTGCTTGAGCCCAGGGGTTGAGGCTGCAGTGAGCTGTAATTGCACCCCTGCACTCCAGCCTGGGCAACAGAAAAAAAAAGAAGTGCCTGGTTGCATTAGCTATGAGGGGCATCTTTCTAAACATCACATTCTCTTCTCCTGACAAGCTCTTTTCAGAAGATGATTTCTGAATGCCCATTTCTGCCTCTTAATTAGCAGTGGCATCCACTTTATCCTTGCTCTTAATATTTTGTTATTGTTGTTACTATTCATGTTGTCTTGTTTCCTTAAATACCTGGTTATTTTTTATCCTATGCCAGATGTTATTTGAAAAAAAAAAATGGTGGACAAATTTGAGGTTCAGGATTAAGTTCCTCTGGAAGGAATTATATTCGCTTTAGGAAGGCACCTAGGAGGCCTCATAATTCAGGATCATCTTAATCCAATTTCAGTGATTACAATGATTCAAAACTAGATTGTGTCCCTGCAAGGATGTTCTATTTCTACTTCACCCTTATGCTTAAAATGTGCTTAAAATGCAGCCCTTCAGGCCCCAGTCTCAGGTGGGGAGTTACCAGCACCTCTCTTCTACCCTTGGTTGGCTTTGACTCTCATTTTTCCATTTTCTTAGCCAGTCAAGACCATTATAAATCTTACTCAGACTCTCAGTTACCTGTTCTAGAATTGGCAAATGCTTCAGGGGAAAAGCAAGCCCAAAGACACCTCTCCAGATTCTCCTCTTCTTCATTATCTTAGCCTAGTTATTTTAAAGTGCCTTGCTAGTTCTTCTGTGCCTTTATGAGTTTTCAACAAATACATTTGTCTGGCTTTTGTAGATGTCCTCAGTGGGAAAATTACATAGCTCATCATTACCGGAATAGAAGTACTTTATGGAAAGTGGCAACTGTCTTTGGTGGGGAAATATATAAAAGGTGATACTGTGGTCTGAATGTGCTCCAGAGTTCATGTGTTGAAACTTAATCATCAGTGTGAGAGTATTAAGAGGTGGAGGCCTTTAGGGAGTGAGTCAGCCATGAGGGCAGAGCCCTCATGAATGGGATTAATTACCTTACAAAAGGGCTTGAGAGAACTTGCATCTCTTTTATACATCCTCCATGTAAGGACACAGTGTTTGTCACTCCTGGACACAGCAACAAGGCACCATCTTGGTAGCCGAGAGACCAGGCCCTCATCAGGCACTAAACCTGGTGGCACCTTGGTCTTGGACTTCCCAGTCCTCAGAACTGTGAAAAGTTTCTGTTGTTTATAAATTACCCAGCCTGAGGTATTTTGTTTTCGAAGTACAAATGGACTAAGATAGGTAGGTTTATGGGAATGAAATCTCAACCTTAGGAAAGGATATGGGGTTGAAGTTCTAGGAAGGAAGCTTCGTCTTCTAAAGAAGATATAGGGTAGGTTGTGTAACAAAGAAAAATATGTTAGTTCCAACAAGATTGCAGTGCATTGATTTCTCTCCCATAGTAGTCCAGAAGAAGATAGTTTAGGTTATTGGGGCAGCTCTGATCTACAAGCATCCAGGGACTTAGGTTTCATCTATCTTGTTGCACCACCATCCCCTAAGATGAGGTCCTCACCCTCACACTAGATACCATATCAATATTCCGGTTCGGAAGGAAAGAGGAAGAAGAAGGCAGCCAGATTTTTGCTTGCTTGCTTGTTTATTTTAAAGAATATAATCTGGAAGTTGAATGCATCACTTCCATCCACACATTATTGGTCCAAACCAATTATTTGCACAGCCATAGCTAGAGGCCAGAGAGGATTGGACGCATCATTTCCTGCTGGGAAACTGTATGACTTGCTAAAAGTTGTGACAGCATGTAGAGATGGCCAGTGATTGTAATGTAGGAAGAAGAGTAGCATAGACCCTGGGGAAAAATTAGCAGTTTCCATCATGGACCCTGGTTAAGAGAGGTAGAGAATTACATCTAATTCCCACAGTGAGCTAATGGGACAAGCCCAGCCAGGAGAGATACCAATATGGCTTCATACATGAGGAGGGACACCTGATACTTCTGTGTCTTAAGGGAGGAGGAATTCAAGTGGTGGCTGTCAAACTAGAGCATACATCAGAATTATGTGGAAGGCTTATTAAAATATAGATTGCTGGCTAGGCATGGTGGCTCATGCCTGTAATCCCAGCACTTTGGGAGGCTGAGGCAGGTGGATTGCCTGAGCTCAGAGTTTGCGATCAACCTGGGCAACACGGTGAAACCCCGTATCTACTAAAATTAAAAAAAGAAATGAGCTGAGTGTGGCAGCGTGCACTTGTAGTTCTAGCTACTTGGAAGGCTGAGGCAGAAGAATTACTTTAACTTGGGAGGCGGAGGTTGCACTGAGCTGAGATTGCGCCACTGCATTCCAGCCTAGGCGACAGAGCGAGACTCCATCACACCCCCCGCCCACCCCCCTACACACACAAAACGATTGCTGGCAAGATGGCTGAATAGGAACAATTCCAGTCTGCAGCTCCAAGGGAGATCGATGCAGAAGGTGGGTGATTTCTGCATTTCCAACTGAGGTATCTAGTTCATCTCATTGGGACTGGTTAGACAATGGGTGCAGCCCACAGAGGGCGAGCTGAAGCAGGGTGGGGTGTTGCCTCACCTGAGAAGTATAAGGGATTGGGAAACTCCCTTCCCTAGCCAAGGGAAGCCGTGAGGGACTGTGCCGTGAGGAATGGTGCACTCTGGCCTAGATACTACGCTTTTCCCATGATCTTCGCAACCCGCACAGCAGGAGATTCCCTCTGGTGCCTAGGCCATCAGGGCCCTGGGTTTCAAGCATAAAACTAGGTGGTCATTGGGGTAGACACTGAGCTAGCTGCAGGAGTTTTTTTTTCATACCCCAGTGGCACCTGGAATGCCAGCAAGAGAGAACCATTCACTCCCCTGGAAAGGGGGCTGAAGCCAGGGAGCCAAGTGGACTAGCTCAGCAGAACCCACCCCCACAGAGCCCAGCAAGGTAAGATCCACTGGCTTGAAATTCTTGCTGCCAGCACAACAATCTGAAGTCAACCTGGGATGCTCGAGCTTGGTGGGGGGAAGGGCGTCCACCATTACTGAGGCTTGAGTAGGTAGTTTTCCCCTCACAGTGTAAACAAAGCCACCAGGAAGTTTGGACTGGGTGGAACCCACCACAGCTCTGCAAATCCGCGCTGTAGCCAGACTGCCTCTCTAGATTCCTGCTCTCTGGGCAGGGCATCCCTGAAAAAAAGGCAGCAGCCCCAGTCAGGGGCTTATAGATAAAATCCCCATCTCCCTGGGACAGAACAACTGGGGGAAGGGGCAGCTGTGGGTGCAGCTTCAGTGACTTAAACGTTCCAGCCTGCCGACTCTGAAGAGAGCAGCTGATCTTCCAGCACAGTGTTCGAGCTCTGCTAAGGGTCAGACTGCCTTCTCAAGTGGTTCCTTGACCCCTGTGTCTCCTGACTGGGAGACACCTCCCATCAGGGGCCGACAGACACCTCATACAAGAGAGCTCCGGCTGGCATCTGGCAGGTGCCCCTCTGGGATGAAGCTTCCAGAGAAAGGAATAGGCAGCAGTCTTTGCTGTTCTACAGCCTCCGCTGGTGATACCAAGGCAAACAGGGTCTGGAGTGGATCTCCAGCAAACTCCAGCAGACCTGC